TATATATATATATATATATATATATATATATATATATATATATGAGCGATTTTAAATCAAATACTAGGAACACAAGCATGAGAAAATTAAATTTTCTTTCAAATGTATCCAAATAGAACAAACAATATTAACACCCAATATTTACTCTAGCACACAAAGTTCTTCACAATCTCAGATCTGATTGTTTTATTGGTCTTACCCTTGGCACACGACCATCCCAAGGTCAGCAGCAGAAAAGGGGCCACGGCAGCCCCTTGTTTCCACTCCATGGCCAACGTTCAAGAAGGAGATCAGCTACTCAAACGTGCCTTCAGATCAACTTTTCTCTCATCACACACGGTTTTCCTGTTTATTAGCATGTCATAAACACATAAAATCCCTCAGCTCTGTGGCAAACCTCAGCTGATCAGGTTGTGATTGGTCAGAAGGACCGAAAGTTTGAATGTAAGAGCTTACTGGGGAAAATTTATGACTCTGCATTGTTAAGAAGTTCAAGTTCAAGGGTATATAAATGAACGTACTGCATAGCTATGGAAAATGTGTGTGCGTATGTGTGTGTCAGTCATAAATGCATTTTATCAGACAGATATCACAGTGGGACATGCACTTATGTAAGTGAGAGACAGAGTCCACAGAGACTGGGGCCTGGAGGGCAGGGACGCTCAGCCATCTCTTTTCCATTGAATACATTAGCACGAGAAGATTACAGGTACTGACTGCCATGTTTCTGACTGGTTGTCCAAAATGTCCCCATCACTGATACAAAAGAGTAGAATATGTTTTCTGGTGAATGTGTTTGATTTCTCAGACAACAGAAAGCCACACACACTGATAATGAGGGCTCGTTCTGTGACCTGGTGTTCTCTGTGAGATCACTGATTACTGCTCCAGCTGTAAACAGGCGACTGGTGGCAAAACCTGTGCTGGTTTGATAATGGTCCAAATGAATCAGCAGGAGGTGAGATTATGTTTGGGGAGTGGTGGCGCAGAGGTTAGAGAGGTGGGCCTGTGATCCGAAGATCGCCGGTTCACGCCCCGGCCCCGACAATATCAAAATTGTGGGTGGGGTAGGTGAAACACCCACACTTGCCCCCACCCTCATTCGCCCCACTCTGGGCCCATGAGCAAGGCCCTTAACCCCCACCATGTGCTCCCTAAACAGGTCTCTCTTGAAAATGAGTTCTCGTGGCTCAATGAGACTAACCTGGATAAATAAAGGGTAAATGAAAAAATGTTCATTAAGTTTGTAAATACAAAACTGCTGGAGCTTCATGAGACTCTGTTAAAAGATGTAACAGGTGAGCAGCCCAACTAAACTGTGTGTGACTGAAGTTTGACTGTATCACACAAGAGTGAAGACAAAAAGACAACAAGGCATTAGCTCCTGTCTGTGTGTATGTGTGTGTGGATGTGTGTGTGTGTGTATATTTGTGTGTACGTATATGTATGTGTGTGTATGTATGTGTGTGTGTGTATATATATGTGTGTGTATGTATGTGTGTGTGTGTATATGTGTGTGTGTGTATGTGTGTTTATGTATTTGTGTGTGTATGTATATGTGTGTGTGTGTGTATGTATATGTGTGTGTGTGTGTGTGTGTGTGTGTGTGTGTGTGTGTGTGTGTGTGTGTGTGTGTGTGTGTGTGTGTGTGTGTGTGTGTGTGTGTGATTGGAATGAAACAAATTATGTATTTTGATGGACTGCTGGAAAGTGCCAAAAGATCTTTTAAAAATGTAACTGTGGACACATCACTGGATTATTCTCTTGTTATCTCCTCAGGTTTCCTCTTCTACACAGGAAGTAGTCGACCTGCGTACTCCTTCCTCCACTCTGATAGGTCAATCTGTGTTCCTCCCTCTTTTGAAAATAAGTGTTGTCTACAGCCATTTCCATTCTCTTGGTGAAATCAAATGGTAAAATTCACAAACTAAACAACAAACAGGTGAAGAGGAAACAAACTGCTGACCCCTGGTGGATAGATTGGGAATAAAACACTTCAACTTGCTCACATCTGGAAACTGATGCAGCAAAACAACTTGATGATGAGTTATCAGACACAGGGAGATTATTCTCACCCAAAGATGAAAGTGGAGGAATGATGCTACCTGTGTGTGTGTGAGTGTTTTCTTTTGTCTGTGCTATTAGCCAAGCATCAAATCTTTGAACAGATTTTAATGAAACTTTCAGTACACACTAAAAACTGCTGGGTTAAAAACCATAGATATCATATAAAAGCTAGATCCTGCATTGGCTGCTGTGGCGCAGGAATTTTGGCCGCCACCTTGGCGCGGTCGTCCTTATTTGGTTAAAGCAGAAGATGTTTCAGCACTTCGCAGCTTATTTTTGTTCTAATCGACAGATTAGACTCATTTAGGGGCCGAGATGGTGTAGAGGCAGGGCAGCTGGCTTGGGACCCGAGAGTCCCAGGTTCGATCCCCAGTCACTGCACATCACGTGGCGTCTCTGGGCAGCACGTCTAATCCCCAAAATGTCCCCCGGGCGCTTTCAATAGCTGCCCACTGCACCACCTGGTGGTGGATGGGTTAAATGCAGAGACTAATTTCGCCATTGTATGGAAACATACAGTGCTGACATTGTGATGGCATTATTATTATTATTATTATTTTCTAGAGAGACCTGTTTAGGAGCAGATGGTGGGGGTTAAGGGGCCTTGCTCAGGTGCCCAGAGTGGGGCGAATGAGGGTGGAGGCAGGTGTGGGTGTTGCACCTTTCCCACCCACATTTTGTGTGTTGACAGTTCCGGGAGTTGTTCCTGCGACTGTCCAATCACAGGCCCATCTTCAAACCTCTGCACCACCACTACCCCACATAACATCATATCATAATGGTCATGGTCACATTAAAATCTCACTGGTTTCCTTCCAGATGTGTTAAACAGCTGTTTGTCCCCCTGATGTTTACAGGTGGCTGTGGTCAGTGGATGAAAAGCCTGGCATGAACAAGATGATGCTGGAGATCATCATTTGAGGAGAGCTACCACCTTCTAACTGTGAAGAACAAGAGCAGCTCAGTGATTCCCTTGAGGCTCAGTGAAGGTGCTGAGAGCTGCAGAGAGGCTGATCCATGGAGCTTCAACACAGCAACCTCCAAACATGTCCACCCTCAAACACATGGTCCGTGGAGAGATTGGACCAGAGCACAAGATAATAAGACCATGATAATAACAACAACAATACACATTCACAAATGATTCATACATTTTTTT